CAAGCCACCCTGGCTACAGGGCTTGGTCTTCAGTGGCATGAAGCTCTGTGCTGCAGCAGAGACCACACAGCTGAACTCAGATTTTGTTTTGGGGGGATCTCAGTGGTGGCGGTATCAGGTAATACTGGGCAGTGGCATCTCTGAGTCACTGTGTTCAGTAAGGGCAGACCATCAACTCCCTGCAGCGTGGGGTGGTGGCTGGCTCTAGGGGTCGGGAGGTGGGGCCCACCTTTCAGCTCACAGTGGGCTTCTGGGGATGGGGCCCCGTGGTCACCTGAGGAGCTCCCACACTGTGTCTGTGACCTCCCCCAGGTGAACACTCTGTGGGTTGGCCAAGGTCCTGGGCAGGGAGGTGTGTGCAGAGTGGGCTCCTGAGGACAGGCCCTCTGGGGTCTCCTGGCAGGCCCAGTGGCCTTGGGAGCTGGTGGTGCCCACCCCCCGCCCCAGTGCAGACCTGCTGGGGGTGGGGGCAGGCAGGAGTTGGTTTTGGTTTTGATTTGGTCTTTTGCAGTACTGGAGACGGAGGTGCTTTACCACTGAGCCACATGAGACACTGTTTTAGTCCGCTTTTTCACTGCCATGACCAGAAGAGCTGAGGAGAACAATTAGAGGAAGAAACACTTATTTTGGCTCATGGTTTCAGAGGTTCGGTGCACAGGAAGCCAGCTCCATCCCTCTGGGCCCGAGATGAGGCTAAGGAGGGCATGGAAGAGGAAAGCAGCTCAGGATGTGGCAAACAGGCAGAGAGCTCTGCTCCCCGGGGACAACCCAGAGACCCCCAGGCAGGCCCCAGTGACCACCTCCCCAGCCACACCCACCTGCCTGAATCTCCACCCAGTTAACCCTCACCTGAGTGCCTGACTAGGTCCAGGCCTCTCAGTCTTCTCCTTCTTGCTTTGTCTCACTGAGCTGCTTGGGGACATCCAGCGTCTGAACCAGGACAGTTGCCCAGGCGTCCTCAGATCCCTGTGCACTGACGTGAGCCCGTGTCAGCAGCACAAATGGGCAAATGCAGGCGGCACAGAGTGTTGGGATGGGGGGCCTCTGAGGCTGCTGCACAGTGTACTGCTGAGTGTGTGTGCGTGTGGGTGCACAGACAGGTGAGGCCTCACTGAGCTGGGTCCTGGGGTGCACGCACTTGCCCACGGTTAAGATCTTGAAACAACTTGGATACATTGTAATTCCGCCTCATTCTAACATAAAACTGTGGCTGCCTTGTAAGTCTTTGAAGTCAACTATGGTCCTTATTTGGACCTGATTTTGAAATACTGTAGAAGTGCACTCTTTGGTAAATGATGACTAGACGAAGAATTGACTATCTGGAATGGAACCCCTGGTGTTCGGTTTGGTTTAATGGTCTTGCATGTTTTCGTTTATGCCAAGTACTGTTTTTTTGGGGGGGTGGGGGTTGAACCCAGGGGTGCTCCAGCACTGAGCTGCACCCCAGCTCTGTTTATTTTTATTTAAGACAGGATCTCACAAGTTTCTGAGGCTGGCCTGGAACTTGGATCCTCCAGTGTCAGCCTCCTGAGCAGCTGGGAGCAAGATGTGGCTGCCATGGCAGCTTATGGCAGTGACTCTTTTACTATGTGGCTTTTTAATGTTTATGACAATGAAGCCGCACGTCTTGGTGCATTTGTGCTGCCACAACAGAAATCACAGGCTGGATTGTTTATAAAGAAAAGAATTTGGGGCTGGGGATATAGCTCAGTTGGTAGACTGCCTGCCTCTACCATTCTGGAGACGGAAGTCCACGGGGGAGGGGCTGAGTCTGAAGAGGGCTGCATTCTTTTTATGTATTTATCTATTTTTTGAGACAGCCTCACCTGTGGCCCAGGCTGGTGTAGAACTTGTGGACTTGAGGGGTCCTGCGTGCTGGGACTGCAGGTGCAGCTGTGGCCAGGCCTACTTGCCTTGTCAGCCCAAGGTGGAAGGCCAGCGGGGAAGCCCTGCGTTTGCGACCAGCCTGCTCTCACGGCAGCAGACACTCCCAAGATAGCTTGTGTTTGTCCTTTGGCTTTGCAGTGCTGGGATGGAACACAGGGCCAGCACCTGCTAGCCAGGTGTGCCATGTGAGGGAGAGGCCCAGACCGCTCACGGCCCTGTGCCTGGCACCGCGTGGTTGCTGGGACTATGATTCCAACACTGCACTTTGAGCCACATTCCAGCCTTAGCTCTATATGATTTGGGAATTTTCTAAGATATGTAAGCTGTAAGTCACAAAGAAATTACAGGGGATATTAGTTGTTTCCAACTAGGAATTAATTTATCAGACACAGTGGCACTCTCCTGTGACCCTAGCTGTCCCCCTCCTGTCCCTCCAAGAAGCTGAGGCCGAAGGATGGCAAGTTCTAGGCCCCTGGGCAACTCACCAAGACCTTGCCTCAGATAAAGAATAAGAAGGGCTGGAGATGTGGCTCAGTGGTAGAGTGCTTCTGAGGCTCTGGGTTCAATTCCAGGACTGAGAAGAAAAGAAAAAAAAAGGACATTGTTCTAATCATCACTGGCTGGGGCGTGGCTCGGTGGTGCAGCAGCTCCTAGCTGGCGGGACACCTGCAGTGACATGCTGCTGACTGCACACAGCAGGTACATGGTGCCCCCAGTGCCCACTCCTAGTCTCCTGGACCTGTGACTGTGACCCTATTTGGAAAATGGGTCTTTGCAGGTGTGGTTAAATTAAGTATCTCAAATGAGGTCGTCCTGGATTAGAGTGGCTCTAAATTCAGTGACACATGTCTTTATAAGAGGCAGAAGAGGAGACATAGGCTCAGAGGAGGAGCCACCTGAAGATGGAGCCATGTGGCCATCAGCCAAGGGGTACTGGGGCCCAGGAGCTGGAGGGGGCACAAGGAGCCCCCTAGAGTTCACACTGTGGTGTCCCAGGTCTGACCTCCAAAACTATGAGACTGAATTTACTTACTGTTCTGGGCCACCCAGAGGCTCTTTGTTACAGCTGTGACCCTAAAATAACCTGTCAAGAAAAGACCAGAAAGCGTTGTTGCGTTAGCTTCAGAAGCCACAGGTACGGAGTGGCGTTGTGTGCCAGGCCTCTGCTCTGGGCAAGCCCTGCTTAGGAGGGGGAGCCACGGCCAGGAAGTTCCAGGCAGTTTTTATGAGAGAAGAAACAGTGCTTCTGTACAGAGAAAGTGTTGATCTAGCACGCAGGTCTGAATTACTAAATAGAAGGCTAAGTATATGGTAATACAAAATTCTAATTTTCATGATTGTAAAACCAGAATAGGAACCATGGCTGTGTCCCCCCAAAAGTTGTTTTAAGTAAAACAGTGTAGAAATTCATGTCCTTTTCCCCTCCCACCTAGAGGGTGTGCATCACCCCCCAGGTACGGCAGTGGGGACACAGGGTTCTGAGGAAGAGCAGTCCTTCCTGGTGGAGGTGTGGCTGGAAAAGGGGAATATTTTTGTGCCTAGTTCACTGGACTACATCAAGGACAGAGCCCAGTGGTCAGGGAGGACAAAGCAGGGTGTGGGCAGTGGCTAGACAGAGGCCTGTCTCCTGTGGGTCACCTTGCTGAGCGCCCGCTCTCTTTGTGCCACTGGTGTAGCCTGTTGGATTGACTCGCCCTAGCTAAGGAAGTGCACATCATCAGCAGACACTGGACACCAACTCCCCCCGAGGACCCTGCTTTTGGGCGGGTCCTACTGGAGTGTGCCCCTCTGCTGCGATCCTGCCTGCACAGGCACCAGGTGGACAGGAACAGTTGCAGGGCTGTGGGTAGATGCTGCCCAGGACCCGTCTTCAGAAGGTGGTGGGTGGTACAGTCATCTACAGGAACCGCAGTAACCACTGTTCTCGTGGGTGAAAGAGGGAAACACCTTGAATGCCCAGCAGCTGGGTCTCTGGCGGATCTGGTATGTGCAGACCTTTGGCAGATGCAAGTCCCAGGCTGTGCGTTGAGGTCACAGTGTGTTGAGTGGGTGCTTTGTGTGCGGAATGCCTTCCGGTCCAGTTCTGACTATATGTGGGTACAACTGGAAGATGGTGCACTTTTGGCTGTGGTCATCTCAGTGCCTATCTTGCCTTAGAGGCCATGCTGAGCGTGGTCTCCCTTCTGTCCCCAGCCACAGGCCATTGCCACAACCACCAACACTGAAAGCTCCTGATGTAGGGACACGGTGTACATCTAATAGAGAGGCTCAGAAGCAGAAGTCTTGTGGACTCCTACTCTCCAGGGGACCTGATGTTGCTTTAGGGGCACAGACAGGGACCGTGGCTCTGGGGAGTGGCTCAGCTATGAGCTATGGTGTCCACTTGGAGTTGTCAGCTCAGGGCTTTCTAGGCCTAGCAGGGATGAACTCTCCCCTCAGTTCTTGGAGAATCATGTGTCCCTGGGACAGGGGTTACTGTCTGTGGGGCACAGGACTCTGGCTCACGGTGGATCTTGCAAGGATCTTCCTGATTGGACCTGTGTGAGTCCAGGGCCAGTGCTCTTGGGGCTGCTCTGCGCTGGCCAGTTTCTAAGTCCCATGCCGAAGCTGGGGTCTGAGCAGCAGAACCACACTGGAGCCTCTGAGGGTCCCTCAGCAGAGTCAGGGCCCAGGTTCCCTGGGACAGTGTAGCGTATTGGATAGATTAGACCCCTGGTTGTTTTCCAGCAGAGGGGTGTCTCCTTTTCCCTCTGTGTTTTTTGGCCCATGCCACGCTACGGTGCTGGCTTCTTATCTGCCTCCTGGGAGGTCCTGATGTCCAGCAGCATCTGAGGGCATGGGGGAACATCTGAGGACATGGGGAATGTATGAACAGGGACAAGATGGCATGTGCTGGGTTGGTTGTCCACAGGGCTTGCTGCTGCCCATGCCTGGGCTCTTGGTCAGCCCTCATCAGGGAAAGATTGCTTGAGTGGGCCTCCATTTTGCAGAAGGCTCCTCAGAGGTGGGCACCAGCCTCCCTGGGCTTGGGTTGTGGGTCCCCTTTGGGTGGACAGCACGTGGAGAGGAGGCAGCCAGGTGACCCTTGCACTGACGCCTCTGCTCTCTTCCAGTGAATGAGTTCACGGTGATCAGGAAGAAGTTCAAGTGCCCCTACTGCAGCTTCTCGGCCATGCACCAGTGCATCCTCAAGAGGCACATGCGTTCCCACACCGGGGAGCGGCCCTACCCCTGTGAGATCTGCGGGAAGAAGTTCACGCGCCGTGAGCACATGAAGCGGCACACGCTGGTGAGTGCAGGGCCTGGAGCCGCGGCCTATGCTGAGCTGAGATGTCCTGAAAGGCGGGCAGTGGGGGTGGCTATGGGATGCCTGGACACTCTGCAGTGGGGAAGCCAAGCAGGCCACCATGGACAGCATTCACCAAGGGGTCACTGCTGCTGGCTTTGGGCTGCCTCGCTCGCCCTGTAGGGGTGGGGCCAGGCTCTGCACCCAGCTGGTGGCTGTCAGGGAGCAGATGCTGAAGAGTGGACCAGCTCAGCTAAGAGCGACAGAGAGGAGGTTGTCTGGAGATAGAGAGGAGATCAGCCTAGCGAGACGGACCCCCAAGGCCCTGAGCCCTGACAGGGGACAGCCCCAGGTGTGATACCAATGGGATGCTGCACTGGGATGGGGGAGCATCTCGGGCATCTTTGGGATGGGGATGGTTTGCAGGCTGGGTCACCTGGAGCTCATCAGCTTCATGGGCAGCCCTGCCAGGCGGCAAGGGCCGAGGCCGGGTTCAGGCTCTCTGTTGACCTCTGCTGCTCGAGCCTAGTGGGGTACTCTTATTTGAGGTGAGGACAGCTGGGAGCTCCCCTGAGGTTAGGGTCCCTGAATGGCTACAGAGCCCACAGAGGGATATTCTCTAGGGTCCCCCATGTGTCCCTCTGTGAGGTGGGGATGCCTGGATCAGGAAGAGCCCTTGACCATGAAGGGAGGCCAGAGGCAGACCCATGTCCACGAGAAGCCATGAGGTCTTAGCAAGCCAAGTTTAGAATTTTTTCTCTAAGTGAACGTTTGCTTCTGCTTCGTCTAATTAATCAGCCATAGAGATCACTTTGCAGACTAAAAGGCACATATGCACCTATTCAGAGGAACCACATCTTGTTTCATGCTAGCAAGTGCTGATGCGTCTCAGTGAGGGTCATTGCATTTGTCTAGAGAACCCACAGGAGGGCCCTGAACAATGTACTTAAACATTTGAGCCAGCTGCAGTGGCCATGCCTGTAACCCAACTGTTCATGAGGCTGAGGCAGGAGGACCTCTAGTTGTAGGCCAGCCTGGGCAATTTAGCAAGACTCTGTCTCAAAAAATAAAAAGGCTGAGGATGTAGCCCAGTGGAAGAGCACTTATCTAGCATGCATGAGGCCCTGAATTCAATCCCTAGTGTCAAAAAAGTAGAATACAAAACAAAAACAAAAACAATGAAGGTGGCCCACCTCTTCCTGAGGAGAGGGTTTCTCTGGGTGCCCACTCTGAGAAACAGGGCCCTGCGTTAGGAGACGGTCTGCGGCCTCCTTGCGCACAGTAGCCCTCCTGGCACCTCTGGGGGGCAGACCCAGCAGCAAGGAGTGGGACCCCTCTGTACCTGCGAGGGCTTCAGGTCTGGATGGGGTGGGCCGGCCCTGCTCCACAGCAGCACCACCAAGGGGCTCAGCAACGTTACCACGGTGCCCAGCACCCTCCCCGAGCAGGAGTGTGAGCACCCACGAGTGCCTGGCCCTCTGGTCCTGGCCATCTGCCTTGGGGACCCCGACCCCTCCTGGGCCTGTTCCTGCCCTGTCATCCCCATTTGCACAGTTCCTATTGTGACTTGGCCTGGCCGTTTTGTTCCCCTGTGTGTGTGTGGGGGGGCAGAGGGAGGCCCTGAATCTAATACTGAGCAAACAAACCTACAGAATTCTGGACCCAACCCAGGGGTCTAGACCCTGCTGGTTGGGCTTTTGAGGAGGCCACGGGGCTAGCACCCAGCTCCAAGAGCCATCACCAGCTGTTCCTGAAGGTCTCAGGTCCCCCATGTGATGACCTGTCCATGCCACACTCTGGACGTGCAGGTTGTCACGGCAGCCTGGCAGCTGTCACTGGAGCCTTCCCCACTTGGGGTTTGGTGGAAATAACAACCCTGCCTTCAAGAAGGTTGGGTTCAAGAGCAGTGCTCTGTGGGACCAAGGGCCTGGGAAGCTGAGGCCAGTGAGGGGCAGCTCACGAGGCCTAGCTGCAGGACCACAGTGATCGCTTGTCAGATCATTGCAAGTAGAAGAAATATGAGCTTAGCCAGGCACGGTGGCACACGCCTGTAATCCCAGTGGCTCTGGAGGCTGAGGCAGGAGGATCAAGAGTTTAAAGCCAGCCTCGGCCAAAGCGAGGAGCTAAGCAACTCAGTGAGACCCTGTCTCTAAATAAAATACAAAATAGGGCTGGGGGTGTGGCTCAGTGGTCGAGGGCTCCTGAGTTCAGTTCCTGTTAGCACCTCCCTCCAAAAAAAAAAAAAAAAAAAAAAGAAAATGTTAGCCAACTTTTTTTTTGCTGTGACCAAAATACCTGACAAGAACAACTTAGTGGAGGAAAAAACAACAACTTAGAAGAGGAAAAGTTTATTGTGACTCATGGTTTCAGAGGATTCAGTCCATGGTGGGCCGACTCCACAGCGGGGAAGCCTCCCAGGGCATGCCCCAGAGACCCTCCTCCAGCCAGCCCCACCTCAGGTAGTGCGTTCACCATCCAGGACCCAGCCACTGAGGAGGTCCGGACCCTCAGGGTGAGCCCCTCCCAGAGGCCCCACCTCTGACTACTGCTGCGTCGGGGACCGTGCCTTCAACACATGAGCCTGGGACGCTCTCAGCCACCCCAGCAGGACCCCCTCCCCCTCAGCCTGGCTGCAGTCTCTGTGTGACAGGACTTTCTTGCAGGCTGTGGAGAGCTGGCTTCAGACACCCCCTGGACAGCTCCCTCCCTGTGTGCAGCTGTCACACAGCTCCAGCTCTTGCACATGGACACAGAGGGGCCGAGAGAGCCTGGAGGACTGGGGAGGCTGCTGGCCCTTGAGGGCAGAAGCGTGGCTAGCACCAGGTCCAACCAGAGGGTGGACCGAGGCTCACAGGTAGCTTGCCACGTGTGGGCCCACTGGCCTTTGTTCTTGAAAAGTAGGGTCCGGGCTTGGTTGTGACCAATCCCTCCAAGCCCTCCTCAAGTTAGCCAGGGGTGCTGTGCTTCTCCACAGACTCCAGTGCCCATGCTGAAGTCTCCACAGGTTCCAAACAGCAGCAGGCATCCTGTCCCCTTCTGCAGAAGGCATCCCGTCTGTGTGTCCTCAGGTCCTAGGGCCTTTGTGTCCTGCTCTCTGGAGGACCCTCTCCCAAATGCTGTTGCTCCCTGTCAGGCATAGCCCTGGTAAGGGGCACTGATCCTGTCCCTTCCTGGCCAATGTGCCTCTTCTGCTGACCTCAGTTGCTGATCTCTGTCCTAGGCTCTCAGTCGACCTCAGGCTCCAGCTGGGGGAGGGAGCTGTGCCTTTTCACCTACAAGGAAATGGTCAGGAGAAGGCTGGGGTGTGGACTTGCCCCCAGTCTGTTCCCAGTTCACCACCATCTCCTGGGACTCCATCCCAATTCCCCTTCCCTCTTTTTTTTCTTTTTAATTTCCTTGTAGTTGTAGATGGATAGAATGCTTTTATTTTATTTGTGTATTTTTATGTGGTGCTGAGGATCGAACCCAGTGCCTCACGCATAGTGGTAGGCAATTGCTCTACCACTGAGCTACAGTCCTAGCCCTTGTCCTTCAATCTTGACCTATGGCTCTCCTGCTGCCCAGCCCATCAAGCCATGGGCCTGGACTGGACTCCCCGAAGCCAGACTCAACCTATAGCTTTTGGTCACTGCTGTGTGGGGCTCTCCACCCTTAACCAGCCTGAGCTGGCATCGTCTTTTCCAGGAGGGGCACAGGAGTGCTCCATACGCTGTCTGATGAGCACTCAGCCTGTCCTTGCAGGGACTCTGGAGGAGGGAGCAGTGTGACCTTAGAGAGAAGTGTGTAGCAGGGCCTCTGTGTGTGCGTGTGTGTGCGTGTATGTGTGTGCGTGTGTGTGTGTGTGTATACTCACACCGAGACCTGGCCCTGCTGGGGCTGCGGGAAGACACTGCTGCCCCTGGTTTCAGCACCCCTAGGGACAGGGCTTTTGGGTGCTGTCCCCAGTTCTGACCATGTAGACTCTGGGCAGCTCCCTCAAGCCTGGGCTTGAGGGTCCCAGCAGATCTGTCACCCCCGAGTCATGCCATGGCTATCCTTGCTCATATGCCTCTTTAGGGCCTGGCAGAGACTGCCCCTGGGGGACCTCACCCCTCCACTGACTGCCCTGTCCTCCCAGGTCCACAGCAAGGACAAGAAGTACGTGTGCAAGGTGTGCAGCCGCGTGTTCATGTCTGCAGCCAGCGTGGGCATCAGGCACGGCTCCCGGCGCCACGGTGTGTGTGCCGACTGTGCTGGCCGGGGCGCAGCCGTGCAGTTGGACCATGGGGGCGGCGAAGGCTCCCCTGAGGCCCTGTTCACTGGTGATGGGCCCTACTTGGAAGACCCCGAGGACCCGCGAGGGGAGGGTGAGGAGGAGCTGGGGGAGGATGAGGACGACGACGTGGCAAAGTGGAAGGACGATGTAGGGCTGGCGCCCGAGGACACGCTGTTGGGGGACGACAAGGAGGACGAGGACTCACCACAGGGCCCCCGCAGCCCCACTGCAGGGCCTGAAAAGGACTTCGCCTGGATCTCCTAGGCCCTGCCCCAGTGGGCAGGGTCTGATGGTGGGGTGGTGGCTGCGTCGTTCCGTCCACCTGTGTGTGTGTCTTAGTGGGTCTCAACACCCGACGGCAGGGCAGCGCCCTTCGCAGCGCCCTTCTCTGCCCCTCCTCTGGTCCTCCCTGCAACCAGCCCCACTCCCACAGACACCGGCCATGGCCTTGCGGTCAAGGGAGAGCGCATGCTCCTGCCTGTCCTGGGATGCCTGGAGTCCCCAGCAGGTGCCTGCGGGTGTGTGACGGGTCTGGTCTGGGGCGTGCCTCCAGAGCATCAAAGGAGCCCTCTGTGGCTGGCCAGACCCTGGATGCAGGCTGGCCAGGCTGGCCAGGGGCATGAGCTCATCCTCGAGGCCACAGGTCTGAGTCCATGTTGAGAGTTTTGCATACACCGAGCTGCATCCGTCCGCAGCACTGCTCAAGCCCTGCAGCCAGGTGGCTGCCTGTGACCCCGCAGTGGCCCTTTGCCCTCTTGGCTCCTGCCACACAGTGGCAGCCTGTAGAACCCAGGTCTGGTGCACAGAAAGCCCTGCCATCCTCTTACCTCTGGGCTTTGGTGCTTAACAAAGCAGCTGCAGATCCTCGAGATCCAGGGCTCCAGGTGCTCTCTCGGGTGGTCCTGGAGGGCGGGGCCTGAGGAGGCCGCAGCTCCTTCCATGCAGGACTCCTCAGTCAGGGAGGAGACCCCTGGCCAGGCTCCCCATCTCAGGCCCAAAACAGTTCTGCCATGAGGGCCTCAGCTCTGGGTGCACTTCCTTAGAGAGCCTGGGCCCCTTGTCCACCCTGGGCTTGCTCCAGGGCTCCTGCTGACCCCTCTTGGGACGGGCTGCAGCCGGACTCCTGCCATCGTTGCTGCTAACACTGGAGGTGGGTGTCCTTGCTGCAGTGTGCTGCTTCACCTCCCTGCCTGGGTAACCAAATGTTAAAGTAGTTGGAGACATCATGAGGTAGCTGCAGAAAATTCTTACTTTTTGCATTGTTTTTCGCAGTTGGCAAAACTACATAGGGTTGTTTTTCCTTTGGCTTGTTAAGTCCTCCTGCTGTGTTTTGAAGGAGCTTCCCATGTGTTCTCCTTTTTTCCTGAGTGAAATGCAAAGGCCCCCATGGTGGGCATCTCTGTGCATCACCCAGCGTTGAGGTCCTGGAGGCAGGCTGCCAGACCCACCCTAGAACAGACATGGCAGCCTGTGCCCCTCCTCCAGGCTGCTCTGACACCACAACTAAGACATTCCACCCTCTCCTCCTCCTCCTCCTGTGCACCCTCTCAGGGTGAGGTGCAGGCAGGTTGACCACTCCCCACCCTAGGCCAGGGCTCCCTGGGAGCTAGTGTGAGTACCAACTGGAGAGAGAGTTTCTAGTTTCTCCTCCAGACTGCAAGCCAGAGGGCTGTTACCTTTTTACTGTCACATCTTCCTCAGTGGAAAAAGGAAAACCCCACAGAACTATGACTTAGGTCCCAGTGGTCACCTGGAGCACATCTCCTGAGAACATTCCCTAAGCACAGCTGTCTGGCAGCTGCTGCCAAGGACACACAGGGTGGGCCCATGTGGGCGCAGGGACATGGTGCTGCCCTTGAGGGCCTGTGTACGGGGAGGAGTTGCAGTTCTCTCTCTTGCTTTTTCAAAGTAAAATCAGCCAGTTTCTACCAGTCACAAGAGGCCGCTCCCCCTGCTGCCATCCAGCCCTCCTGCGCATACATCCCTCCTTGGCAAAGCCATGAGCTCCTGAGCCAGTCCCTAGCGGAAGCTCAGACCCTCCTACACAGAGCATGGGGGCCTTGGCTTGTCACCCATTCTCCCACTACCATGGCGGGGTCTGGGGTGCTCCCAGTGGGGCAGTGTGGCTGACCCCCTGACCAGGGAAGCTCCAGCTGAGCTCCCAGCCCCATTCAGGGCTCGCAGAACTTTGTACCTTTTCTCCCACTTTTTTAACACCTTTTCTATACGCTGATTTTCTTACAAGTTGCATTTGGAAACCAGACCTTTGCTACCAGCCTCTGGGTTTTGTACCGGTCCCCCCTCTCAGGCCAAACTGCCCAGGGCCCCCGGCCCACCTCCCCCAGGCACCTCTGCCTGGCACTCAGGATGTCTTGCTCTCTGACTGGCTCCCGCTCTGGATGCCTTTGCTGGCCTAGGGGCATATCCTTGAAATGATACTGTACCGGAAAACCAAGGGTCCCAATCTGTCCACCATCTTCCCCGTCTGCTGTGTGGCAGGTCCGCTGTTCTCAGTTTGCTAGTTGGAGAGTGGAATTTCAAACCCAGATGAACACATCCATCTCAGGAGGCATGGAGGGAAAAGACGTATGTAATGAAGGTTTTTTTTTTTTTATGTGACTGATTTTTTTTTAATCAATGTTCAAACTAATAAATATTTTTTTATGAAGAGGAAAATAATGTGTAGATTACATTTCACATTTTGTATTTTTGTTGTTGTTTGTGTCTGTTTATACCTTGGTGTTTGCAACACCAAAGTGGAAGATACAGTCCATGGTGGTGGGGGTATGTGAATAGGGAAACCATGATTTTTGTAGGGAGCTCTGGATCCTGGCCAGGTTGTTTGGACTCTGGGTCTGGGCAATAGGATGCTGCCAGGACTCTCCAGGGCCTGACTCGGGACACAGCTATGCTTCCAACTTTGCACATCTTCCTTTTTAAGAAAGAAAACTGAGAAAATGCAAAACTGGAACTTTTTGCAATATTATGAAAGATAATCTTCAGCTCATTTTGTGACATGTGCAGCTCTTTAAGAAGCCATACTTTCTAGTGGTTGTCTTTTGTTTAGATCCTGTTGTTTTGTACGCGGCCCTTTTAGAACCACTTGTAGTGAGGGTGCTGTGTGTGTGTGCTTCCCTTAAATATTTATTTTTTTCAACATGCTTTCAACCTGTCATCAAAAACAGAAGAGACAAAAAAAAAAAAAAAAAAAAAAAAAAAAAAAAAAAAAAGGCAGTGTTTGGAGACTGTTGATTTTTTTCTTGGGATGCTCTATTATATTGACTTTATATATTATTATAAACCTGTGTTTGTACTGGAGATGTGTTTAATATTTGGGGAGGTTTTTCAGTCCATTGGTGGAAAATCACAGCTGCTGCCTAGGTCTTGGTAGCCAGAGGCCAGGCCAGCAGCCAGCATCACCTTCTCTTCTCTACAGAGGGTCTGGAGTTTCCTGCTTGCCTCCACAGGCTCCAGGCCTGCCTGTGGAGTTCCTTTCTGTGACGGGATTAGCATAGACATTCTTGCAAAGCGATTACTTTCAATAAATTGGGAAATTGCTGCTCCCAGCAGATGCCTCCTGTGTTTCAGATAGCCCCCTCCTCGGCCTCATCTTGGATACAGGGGGCTGGATTGGAGACCCCCAGCCCCGTGGCCTCCCCCCATCCCTGCCCACAAGGTCCTGGACCCATTCCTTCCCTCCAGGAGGCAGACTCAGCTTCTGGAAAAAAAACCCAATTTTTAATTTTTCTCCTCGCCTGGTGGCCCAGACGTGAGACACCTGAGCTTCAGAAACATGGAAAAAGTCAGCCCTGGCCCCTAAACCACTGCATTAGGTGTGAGTATGGGAGTCCCCTTCTCAACACCCCTCAAAGTGCCTCTTGGACCGAACCCTACAGCTGGCCTGCCAACATCCTTGGCCAGTCCTGGGCCAACAGGCAGGGGGGCAACAATCCTGGGGCCAAGAGGACACTGATGTTATTTGGCTTTAGTGCAAAAACGCTGGCTTCTTCAGAGGCACTTTGAATAGCAGGACCCCTTTCCCCACTGCTGGGGTCCAGGGTCACCATCTCCCCTACTGTCTCCTGCCTTAGGAAGTAGCCCCACAGCTACAAGAGGCAAGGCCTGGTGATTGCCCAGGACAGGAGGTGGGACAGCAGGGCCAGTGGGCTCAGTCCAGGAACCGCTGACAAGCCTTCTTCCAGCGGCAGGCTGTGCACCACAGGTCCCGGTGATCCGTGCCGTACACCTTCCGGCACTTCTTGGCATCACCGCGGGGCTTCCTGGGGAGACAGGTGGGAGACGAGTGCTGTCAGCTGGGACCCTCCCCACCTGGCACCTGACTGGGCCCGCAACCCACACGCACCTCAAGCTGGCACCAAGCTTGGAGGGCAGGGCTGGTGCAGTGGCCTGGCCCTCAGTGGGCTGTGGGTCCACATGGACGGGTGCCAGGCAGCCCTGGGGGGAGCTGCAACTTGGACTTCGCTCCTCTCCAGAGTGCCCTGAGACTTGCTCCCAGCTGCCACCTGTTGCCTCCCCAGCATGGTGGGCATGGTCACCGTGGCATGTCTTGGGAGGAACTGCAGAGCTAAGCAAAGGGGGCAGGGGCAGGGCCAGGGGCCGCAGCAGGCTGGGCAGGTCCAGATGGGGGAAGGCAGGCGGCACAGGGGCCTCAGGGGACGTTGGGGCCAGGTTGGACAGCCCATTGGTCAGCATGTCCACACCAATGTCCAGCTCAGTGTAGTAGAAGTCCTCCTCACCATCACTGTGCTCAGGCTCTGCCCGTCTCCTGCTGGGGACACAGCAAGGAAGCTGAAGCGCTGGCCTGGCCTGGCCCCACCGCCCGGCCCCCGGCCCCGTCGCACCCCAGGTGCACCAGGCGGATGTGTCTCTGAATGGCGGAGGCTGTGTGCAGCACCTTCCCGCAGCTCTTCCACAGGCACTGGAACACCACCTGGACCGCGCTCTGGGCAACAGGGTGTGTGTCAGGAGCAGCACTCGAGTCCACCCGCCCTGGGCTCCCCCAGCTCACCTTCCGTTTCCTCTGAGTGGGCTCCCCAAACAGAAAGTGGGCTGCCTCAGGGGGCAGTGGGGGCGATGGTGTGGACGGGGAGGACTGGTCGCTGGCCTGGTCCCAGACCCAGTCTCCACTGTTGCTGCTGCTGCTATAGCTGTCAGTGGGCTGCGTCAGGGCCTCCCTCCAGGGTTCCAAGTCAGGCTCTGCAGGAACATGCACCTCAGGACCTCTGGTGGGCTTGAGCTGCTCTGTGGGGAGCTGCTGCTTGCTGTCTGCCTAATGATCTGCAGTCCCTAACTCAGCTGCCACCTATTCAGGTGAGCTTGGTGGGCAGAGTCTTGGAGAAGATGTTGGTCACAGGGGCATGGGGAGACATCCCCCAGCATAGCAGAGAAAAGGGGGTGCCTGGCATGGTCAACAAAGTGGAGGTGGACAATCTGCAAAGGCCTGGCTTCAGTGAGAGGCACTGAAGATCCATATAACCACTTCAGAAAGAGAGCTGAAGTGTGGGTGGCAGGTCTGAGGACTCTGCTCCATCCCAGAAAGTGGGTGGCTGTAGGGTCCTCTGTCCCAGGCCCTGCCCCCACCTGAGCACAGACTTGAGACACACCTGGACTGAAGGATACAGCAGAGGTCCCCAGATAGAGGGGGCTAGTAGACAGGCTTGTAAGGGCTGCCGCGGCCAGGACCTCATCTAGCCGAGCTTTTCCTGGGGGGGATCTGAAGGAGACAGGGGCAAGATATGGGTGGGTGGGGCCCAACAAGTACTCTAGTCCCCTCCCCTGACCCAGCTACACTTTCAAGGCCTGGGCACGTGTTCCAGCACCAGGCTGCCTCACTCCTGGCAGAGAAGGAGGTCTGGCTCCACCCCGAGCTCAGGTTGCAGAGCCCCAAATCACCAGGAACCACCGGGAACAGGGCTGGGGTCTCTCTGAGGCTGGTGTTCTCTACAGCCTGGGCTTTGTACCCTGCACCCTCAGGATCTACAGGGCACCATGTCTCACTGGTGGGCTAGGACTGACCCCGACCCAGCCCCCATCACATATTAACCAGCGTTGTGCGTTGTGCAACAGCAGCTGTGGGCCCCGGTCCAGGCTTAGGAGGTGGGAGCAGCCAGCAGTCGGCAGCAGCCAGGAGGGAGAATGGGCTTCAAGCACAGGCCGGTCCTGGGCCTCAGCGGGATAGGACAGGGCCCGCCCCTGCTGCGCAGCCAGCCAGAAATGTCTGGGCTTAGGAGTGGGGGAGTGGCAATAGGAGCCCCAGGGATTCCTGGACAGTAAGCCCCACGCAAACTGCACTGCCTCTTCTGCACAGAAACTGACAGCCGCCCCTCCCAGTTCTGCGATGGGACCCCCAATGTAATTGGTCATTTATGTCCAACTCCTCCAGGGTTGGAGAGCTGGGGGAAGAGAACGCAGAAACCCAGTTCCGGACCCTGACCTATTATCTACCGAGGCCTCCCTCGGGAGGGTCGGGAAGGCAGAAATCCGTGCCCCACCCACTGCCTATGCACACACCGACGCACGTGTGCACACACCCACCTAGGGCACGAACCCCCCACCCCAGGGGCTCACCTCTGCGCTGGCACCGGGATGTGCACCGACGGTGTCGGGAGCCCAGCCGCCCCCGCCCACGTCCCCGGGGTCCCTAGGTCTGCAGCCTGCGGCTCTTGCGGCAGCGCGAACTCCAAGCCCGCAAAACCTCCGCCCATAGAAGGGCCCTGCAGATGGAAGAAACTCATAGAAGAGGCAGCCCAGGCCCACCAGCCTGCACCATGGATCCACTTGGCGCCCGCCCCCGCCCCACCGGCATAGCTCCGCCTCCGGCCCCGCCTCGGCGCGGGCGACGGGGAGCGTCCCCCGGCCGCACGGCTGGACCCACGGACATGCAGGGGCCGACGCGGCCACCCCTAGCTGCCACGCCCTCGGGGCCCAAAGTTTGCGCAGCCCCGACGCCATCTTTGCAGCCAGAGAAACTTTGTTGGCGCCCCCGCCCACTGGTACCTGTGGCGGCGCCGGCACCGTCACGGGCGCGGCGCGCGGGCCCGAGCCCTGCGCGCTCAGCCACGGCGCCTCGGCCCGTAGCGCACTGGGGTCCCGACCGCCGGCGCGGAGCTGGGGGCGCTCACAGCCCGGACCCGGACCTGGGGAGAGCTCGGCTTCCATGGCCGGCCGGCCGCCGAGGCTGCAGCGGCGAGGGCGGACTCTCGGGAGGCGGCCCCGGGCCGGGCCGGGCTGGCGGGGCCGCCGACCCCCGCCCTGGATCCCGTGCGGCCCTCTCGGTGCTGCGCCGCCCCGAGGCCGCCCGGCCGACCACGCCCCCCGCCCCGGCGCGAGCGCCTATTGGCCGGCGGGCGTATCAACACTCGGTGGCCGGGGCCCGGCGCTCGGCCTCCGACTGGCCCGCGTTGGGATCTTGCCCGCCTCTAGCCCGCGCTCCCGCGCTGGCCAGGAGAGGTGGCCTCCCGGCGCCCGACGGCCCCTAGCCTGGCCAGCTCCGGGCGGGCCGCTTCCCCACCGGTGTGTTGGAAGAGTTGCCAGAGACAGAAAGGGGCCCTGTCTCCTTGGCTGGCTTCTTGGAGCAGGTTATTCTTTAACGCAAACTGCCCACCTCCCCCGACTTATGTAACTCTAGGGGTTGGTGGCGGAGCCCAGGGTCCAAGTCCCACCCTGGCAGCCGCCCAGCAGGCTTCCCTGTCCCCAGGACTGGAAACCACAGCGAGATGGTTTGCCTTCCCCCTGCCCGCCAATGGCTTCGGAAACCAGAATAGCCTCAGGTACCAGAGCTTGGGCACCTGGGTGAGACACCTGCAAGACCAAAAGGAGCCATGGATCCTTCCAGAAGTCCTCACCGCAACCCTCCCCGCTTTCAAGAACGGCAGGCTGTGAGGCATGCATGCCCATCCTTGTTTGATGGAACTTTATTAGGATGTAGGCCTTCTCTGGAGCAGGGAGAGGACATGTGGACGGTGGAAATAGAACCTCACAGGCTAGAAGCCTTGGGATCTGGGATTTGTGCTGTCAGCTGCAGGGGCAGGGAGCTCACTCTGGAGAAAGGAACATAGTAAATACTGGGTGTTCAGGGGTCTCCAAACCCTCCCGAGGCAGAAACGGGGGCCTGGCACCTGCACATATCCACTGTGTTACCAGGTAGACAGGAGGGGTGAATCCTGCTCAGGGCCCCATCTCCTGGATGCTCTCATACACATTTTCCAGGGGCCTGCTGTCCATGCTCAGGTCCCTGAGGGGGAGGGTCTCACAGGTCAAGTCATTCCTTGGGGCCAGAATCGATCCCCCACCCTTGAGGTCTAGCTGGTTTTTTATGAGTCCTGGGTCCCTGCTTTCAGACTTGCAGACCCTGGAGTACAGGATGTCCACCTGGAGAGAGGAGGGATCCAAGGAGCGGTAAACACCAGCCTCTCTGCCAAGAATCTGCCAGCCCCACCTGCTGTGCACAGCCCAGGCCCACTTTACCTGAGCAGTTGGGATCCTCTCAGCAGTCCCCTGCTGCAGTTCTTGGGGACCCTGACCTGTCCCCTTGAGCTTCTGGATGCAGGCATATTCAGCCACCAGAGGTCTGGCTGCAGGCCCAGGCCTGGCACAGCCGATGGTCAGCCGTGTCCCTGCCCACACCACAGGGCTCGAAGCCAGGCTGGCTCTGGGGATTGCAGCCAGCCCTATGTTGGAATAAGTGTCCTCAGGGCCAATGAAGGGTGAAGGGGAGACAGGAGAGGCCTTAGGCAACTGCTGTGGTGGGAAGATGGAGGGGGCTGCCTGTGGCCTGGTGCTGCGCCTGGGCACTTCCAGCCAGTGTGGGCGCAGGAGATCCATGCTGGCAGGCCGTGGGACTAGGGGTGGGGTTAGAGTAGAGGTCACTTAAGGGTGGGGAGCAGGCCTGGCCCCAGAACTGGGGAGACAGCCTATGGCCAGACCCACCCCATTAACCCTCCCGGAGGCTCACGATGCTGCTGTGTGGGCCGCGGTGCAGCTCCTACAGCCTGGTGCCGGACCTGCTGAGGGAGCAGAAGCGAGTCTGTCTCAGCACTGACTGAGGGCAAAGGTCTGGAAGGGACCCTGTGGCACCACCCTGGCCCCACCCTGGCCTGGCACTCACCACTTGCACTGGCATCATGCTGCCCTGCAGCCTGGCCCGATGCCTCGGCACCCGTGTCCTGGGGGCAAGAGCATCATTAGGCCAGGGGCCACAGTAGGTACAAGGGTGGTCAGCAGCTGATGCAAGACCAATGTAGAGGTTCTCACAGAGCCTCTGCACGGGCCTGCCTCTAACTCCTGTCTGCACAAGGAGGTGGTGAGGGCCCACAAGGAATCCAGCACAACAGACATACCTGTGGCAGGCTGTGCACAGCACCCACAGCCAGAGGAGCAGGGAGAAGCACCCTAGGACCCAGAGGGTGGGCAGGGCCAAGGGCACTGGTTGCCCCATCCTGTGAGGCAGGGGCCTGGGGGCAGAAGAGAGGGGCACTGGGGCTGGCTTGAGGATGGGGCACACAAATGGCAGCCCCACTTGTGCTCCTCCCTCTGTGGGTGGGCTCCTCCCCCTATTCTGACTCAGCATACCGGAAACACCTGACCTTACCCAGGGGCACCCACCCTTCCACCTCTAGCTTGGAACTCCTGGTGAAAAGGGGTACTCTGCCTGCACTTTCACCATAACTGCAGGTGGTCATGGTGATGGCAGAGCATGGCTAGGGCAATTGTAACCTGGCCAAGATCATGCTGTGGTCACTGCAGCCCAAACCCATGATCTGGGGGAAGTCCCTGCAGTTACACCCCTGGGCCTATGAGCCACAGGCCACAGACCTCGCCTACCCACCCTGCCCAGCTGTGGCCCCCTTGTCTTAGGTGATGCCCCTAAGCCATCTTAGTAGAGAGCTTGGACCTTGAAGTGGAGTAGTGAAGAGGCAGAAGAGGCCAGCTTCAGGCACTGAAATGTCCTCCCACCCCTCTGGCTCTCCTCCCCCTGGTCTCTGCCACCTATGCTGGATTAATGTCAGCAGAGTTGCCTGGGGGATGGGTGGTGGGTAACAGGTGGGCCCACCAACTATCTGTAGGAGTTAGGGGAGGTTCAAGGGGTAATCTTGGAGGTCGAGGCCAGTCTACCCAGACTCAGCAGCGGGCTTCTTGCACGGGCATGTGGGAGGGCCCAGTCTGATTAACTGGAACACAGCCAGTTCCCAATGCCTTGACCAGGTCAGTCCAAGCCCTCCCAAATGCAAGGAGTGCCCCTGAGGGGCTTGGGGAACTGCCCATGCTGGAGGGCAGAGCAGGCACTTACCAAGGCCACCACGCGGCTCCTCCACGGCCCTGTCTGGGGCAGCCAGGAAGGTCTTTGTGGGCCTGGTAGAGCTCCCCACCTCACTTCCTGTCGCTGCCTCAGAGCACCTCCCCAGCAGCCCTCAGCCCTGAGCTGCAGCCGCACCAGGAGTCACCCACCTGCTAGGGCCCCTCCCTCGGTCTAGTCGTGACTCAGTGTGCTACCCTGGGCGCTGGGTGGCCATCCCTATATTCTGAGAGCCCAGCTATGCACCCTACCACACCCACTGAAGTGAACACTTGCCAACAAGAAGTGGGGAGAGTAGATCAGCTAGATAATCAGTGGCCACCAAATTTCAACTGACCAAACCCACTTGAGCAGGACCACCTGCCTAACAGTGCTCCTGAGGGCCAAATCCACCCAGTGAAGTAAGCACAGGGCACCAAAGGACACCCAGGGTTTTTACCCACCTCAATCAGAAAAGAGAAGGGAGAAGGCCACTCTCCTGGGCCCTCTGACCCTGGCATGGGCTGTGGCCTCATTCAGGACCCCTGAAGCCCAGCCCGTGAGTTGCCATGAACCTGTGCAGACCCCTCTCTCCCCAGAGACCCCGTAGCCAGCTGAGTCTCCACTGATACTGTGACGAAATCATTTTAATGTCCTTGCTAAGGATACGCCCCAAGACACTGGCAGGTGGGCTCCGTAGGCAAGTAAGTGTCCAGAAGTGACTGACCCTCCAGAAGGACATCTTCACTTGGCAGTGTCCAAATACTCCAGGCTGGCGAGGCTGATATGAATCCTAGAAGTGGGCTGTCCCCTCTTGAGAGGTATCTTAGGTGTCAGAGTGACAGCTGGTTTTTCAGCCAAGGCAGCCGGAGTTGGGGTCCCAGGACCCATCCACAGTACATGCGAGGCCTCTAGAACTCTGTCATCTTCCTGTGGGTGTCTGCCTTCCGCTGTTCCCGCTGCAGGCCTGCCTCCTGAGCTCGGAGCTGCCCCAGCTGCCGCTGGGCTCCTGCCAGCTTCTCTTCCAGCTGGGCTGCTGCCACGCTGTGCCTAGGAACGGCCTGCTCGTCAGCATAGCTTCCTGGCCCATTGACACCACTGCTGTTGTGGCCACTGCCCGACCTCTTACATCTAGCTTTCTTCAAACTCAGCAGGCACTCTCAGGTCAGGTGACCTCCCGCATATGTCCTATAGGGATGGCCACCCAGCGCCCAGGGCCCCACACGTACCGGCCAGCATTCCGGGTGAGGGCCTCTTGGATGCCCTGGATGTCCCGCTGGGTACGCACAATCTTCTCCTCAGTCTGGAAGAGCCGTAGGCTCAGGGCCTGCTTGGCGCTCTTGCTGGCATGGTACATGTCCTGGCTCCTCCTTCCTGGGGGGCCCGCCCCAGCCTCCAGGGTCCCAGGAGCCTGGCTCCGCAGCTTTTCATTCAGGAAGTCAAACACGTTCCGAGGGGGTGGTCGGCCCCCAGGCCCACCCCCACTCCCCTGGCACCTTGGGGGCCTGTTGGCACCAGCCTGGCCCCGCTTGGTCCTCTTTTGCAGGATCTCTGCACACTGGTCCAGCGACTTCCCTCGAGGCAACACCACAGCATGAATAGGCTCCACCCGGCCTTCGGCATGTCTGCCTAAGCCTGCGAAGAAGTAGGGCTGGTGCTGCAGGTACTGACCCTCAGCTGCTCTCCAGCACCCTTCCCCCCAGGTAGCACACACTCACCCTTGCCAAACTCATAGCCCATCTTGGCGAGGAGTCTGGAGCCAATGCCACGTGTGTGTACTTCCCAGCCAGCAAAGGCAGAGCTGCAGGTCCCAGTGTCTGCAGTGCCTGATTCCACCACTGCAAGAGACAGAGGGCAATGGCTCAGCTAGGCCAGAGGACGGTGAGTGGTGACCTGTGCTCTGGCCCCTGTTCCCCAAGAGCTCAGCTCCCAAGCAGGATACCCATCTCTTGCCAGGACTCACAAACCTGCTGTGGGTGTTCCTGGCACCTTAAGCAGGTAAGTTGACTGTACTACAGCCTATCACTGGTTGCTGAGGATAGGGGTTCAGAAATCACCAATTCATGTCATAGGTTCCCAGGGACACCTCCCTGACCCCTCAGGAGACTTGAACATTGCCTACCAGCTCCCTTTCCTGACACCTCCACCCAACGTATCTGGACACATACCCTCCATCTGCCAGGTTCCCTTCCACCCCCACCCACCAGGCAACAGGTCCTCAGCCTGGAAAGGCAATTGACAGAGCCACCCCTTCCTGTCCGTCACGTCTACCCATCACTCCCTGTTGTCTCTTTAGCAGCTCCAGCCCCAACAGTCCTTTCTCTCCCACAGCAAGGCCAAGACCTTGCATTTCAGAGCTTGTAACTGTTGCACATGCTCCTCAAAGCCAAAGGCCAGGTCTCTGGCCCTACCCCAGGCCCTCTGCTGTGGTTACCCAGGCTGAGCTGACCTCACTTTGGCTACTCACTACAGTTGTCCCCTTAGCAGGGTGCTTCTCAGGGAGAAAGCTGCCAACCTTGCTCCAGGCCCCCACCATCCTGGCTCTGGGCACCACGCTGCCGTTGTACCTCTGGCATAGCTTGAGTCAACCGCATCACCACTGTCTGAGTCCGATGACTCTGCAGCCTCCGTGCGCAGGGGGGGCAGAATGCTATCTCCCTCCACCACAGCCTCTTTCAGCAGCAGTGAGTCAAACTTGACTGTATAGTAGCCATTATCTACATCTGAGGAGACAAACATGGGCTGCAGGTCAGCAGCTGTAATGAGCAGGCCACAGTAAGGAGCAACAAAGGAAGGGGGAAGTGAGGCAGAGCTGAGGCCAGGCCAGACTTGCTCCTCTTGGGCCCAGTCGGAGATCTCAATGTCCAAAGAGATAGGTAGTGGCCACAGGAAACAGAGAAAAGACTTTCTAAGAAGGGCTTTATTCAGAAGCACCCTGTCAGGGAAGTCCCCACACCAGCCTCACCAAGGATCCGTGCTGGGTGCCAGAGGCCATCCTGGTGCTTGGCCAGACACGTAGAGCCAGCCTGCAGCAAGCTCAGATCTGGGTCCTGGAAGGGGCGCAGCTCATCCACAGAGACCACCTGCCCGTGGGAGAACCTGCAGAGAAGGCCACAGGAGGCAAGGCTCAGGCATGGCCTATGAGGGCAAACAAGCCCAGGAACACCAAGGTCATCTGCCTGGTGCCCAGAAGGGAGAAACAGACAGGGAGATAAACACACCAAAAAGAATATACTTTTTTTCCATCTCTCTCACATACCTTTTTTTATTTTTTAAGTTGTAGATGGACAGCGTGACTTTATTTTATTTGTTTATTTTTCATGTGGTGCTAAGGATCAAACCCAGTGCCTCACACATGCTAGGCCCCAGCCCCAGCCCTCTCTCATATACTTTTTAAATATTTTTTTTCTAGTTATAGATGAACACAATACCTTTATTTTATTTAATTATTTTAATGTGGTGCTGAGGATTGAACCCAGGGCCTTGCACATGCTAAGTGAGTGCTCTACCACTGAGCCCCAGCCCCAGCCCTCTCATACACTTTTGCATGTGCATATACATACACACTTTCTCACAGGCAAACACAGACTTTCACTCATAAACACACACATGCATAAACATATACACTCATACTCACAGACATACCTACATATACATGTACAGGTGCACACAAATATACAAGCACACATATATATTCCCATGTACCCATATACATAAACTCACACGCGAATATACACACACACGCACAAACAATATACTCATACACACTAAACATGCACACTTGAAGTCTCTCAGGATGCGCTTGGCTACTCTGAAGAGCATATTCCTGGTATTGTTTCCAGCTTGCTAGGGTGACAATGTGGCAGAGGGTCTTGTGACTTTGGCTCACCATCATCTCCAGTTATGAAGTTCTAGACCCAATAAGTACTCATAGAAAACATGGTATAGGGTGGACGGGGTGCATGCATGTCCTGGACCCAAACCCACTAGGACAGCCTAGTCATAAGTAGCAGTGCTGAGACTCATATAGATATATATATTTTTAAGTACTGGAGATTGAACCCAGGCATGCTTTACCACAGAGCTATATCCCCAGCCCTTTTTATTTTTTTCCAGTTCTTCTTATTATTTTTTGTTTTGAGACAGGGTCTCATTAAGTTGCCTAGGCTGGCCTTGGGCTTGCAATCCTCCTACCTCAGCCTCCCAACTTGCTGGGATTACAAACCTATTCCACCACATTCAGCAGTATTGCAACTTTTAGATATTAGTGCACCAGTAAAATTAAAACCAAAACCAAAATCAAGTTAGAGAGAATGAAGAGGAAATGTGGGGACAGACACAGGACTGCAAACTTGAACCTGCTAAATAAAGACATGAAAAAGCTAACCACCAGCCACCACTGCATGTCATCATTTCATACAGGAAACTGTTAACCCCACAGGAGCAGCTGAGGGCTGGCATTCACGTCAAAACAGAGCCAGGGTTGTCTTCCTAGGCAGGAATCTGTGGGTGGGAAGGAGGGAGATGGACAGGCAGTCTCAGTAAGCTCCCCCAAGTTGCACAGTGGTGGTCTGGGGTTCTCCTTCTCACCCCTGGCTATCCTGGTAAATAGGGCACTGCCATTGAGCAAGCAATACCAGCAGCTGTGACACAGCTGCAAGAGCACTGTAGTGGAGGTACTGGCAGAAAAGTCTCACTCAACCAAGGACTAAAGGGATGCACTCAAAGCAACTCCTCGCCAGGTGAGTTTGGCACATTCCCAATGTCTGACCATCAGTCAAACCTTTTTGGAGGATCCTTTATCACTAGAAGAGGCCTTAAAATTTGGCACAGATTGAGTGCTCCTTATCCAAAATGCTTAGGACCAGAAGTGTTTTAAACTTAGATTTTTTAAAATTTTGGAACATTTACAAAAACATAATGCGATATCTTGGGGGTGGAATCAAGTTAAACAAGAAATTCATTTGTTTCATATAAACCTTATACACACAGCTTAAAGTAATCCTACACAGTATTTTCAGTGTGGCTGATTTTGAACTGCTACCTGTTCACATGAGGTCAGGTGTGGAAATTTCTACTTGTGGCATCATGTCCACACTCAAAATGTTTGGGATTTTGGAACACTTCAGATTTTGAATTTTCAGATCAGGGATGCTCAATCGAACAAGTGCTTTTATGAAAGGATTTCCAAGAATATGAAAAACTTAAGAAATAATCTAAAAATTTGAAGCATGGGGAATAGTTATGGTATATCCATGAGGTTAAAAATTAGAGATGGACAAACTGACCTGTGGAAAAAAGGAGAACAGCAAGAGCCCCATGCACATAGGAAACCTAACAACTGAGGAGTACCGCAAACATGCTAGGGAAGGATGAACTCTGGATTCAAAATCTGAGTTTTCATATATAAGACCCCCAAATTGATGACCAACATCAAAATGTCCACAGAAACACATTCCAGATGAAGTAAAGACTTAAACCTGAGAACTCTAAAAAGATCTGGAACTATAAAAAGATCTAAGCTCAGCTAGGGCCTGGTAGGGACATCACTGAACACTTCCCACAGAAATACAAGCCTAAAACTGGAAAAAATTGTCAAGACTCACTGGAAATTGATGAGAGCACACATACACTGAAAAGAGATTAGTGACAACCTGCTCAGCTCTGGTGGAAATGGAAGGAGACAGCTGCTACATTTGGCCCGCTCCTGGGTTCAGAAAACCCATGATAGTTCTTCCAGCTTGGGAAAAAGCTAAAAGCCGCAGAGCAGATGGGGGCAGAGGCAAAACCCAGTCCCTGGCAGCTACATGCGGCAGTGCTGGCAAAAACCACTGGGGAAACAGCTCTGATCATGTGGGGTTGTGACTTCAGCTGCAGTGAACACCAGCTATGTGTTTAACAGGGAGATCCCCAGCTCCTGAGGGAAATGCATGTGTTAGGAGCTCCAAGAGAAGACCGGAGAAACCAGGAGAGTGAACAAGAGGCTGGGTGAACACGGAAGGTGCTCCCCAACCCACAGGGCCAAATGGCTGAGGTAAGAAGCCCTTGGTGCTAGAGGTATCTGAGTACCATTCCTGCCTAAATCACAGGTGATCATGGAGCTTTAAGAAGATGCAGCCCCCTCCCCGCCACACATATGTGCATGCACACACAAAGATGCAGCTCTAGGAAACCAGGCTAAAGAGCAAAAGCACATCTTAAATAAGCAGTGGTGACAGAGGCTGCACATTACAGGGGAGGCAGATTTTCTGATTTAAGTCCAGAAAACTTCACTAAAACAAACTTAGGAAAACAATTCAGAATCCAGGTATAATATATCACCTGTCTTCTGGCTCTGCTCTTTCTAATGAGATGTCATTGAATTTTCAACAAAGTTATGAGACAGGAAAACAGGAAATGTGATCTAAATTTATGGAAAAAAGCAATTGATAGAATATGACCGAGTGAGTCCAAATGCTGAGTTAAACAAGACCTCAAAACAGATATTGTAAGTATGTTTCAAGAATTAAATGATAATGACACTCACTCAAGAAACAGAATATCTTAAAAGAGGAAATTATATAAAAAGAATCAAATAGAAATGCCACAGTTGAAAAATAGAATCACTGAAACAAAAAATTTGCTAAATAGAGGAGAATGATTGAGACAGGCAGAGCACAGGGGGCTTCCAGGACAGTCCAACAATTCTGTGTGGTGCTGTAGCGCTGGATCATGTTACTACGCATTCGATCAAATCCACTGAACATGCAGCACCCAGATGGAGCCCTGTGCACACTGTGTCTGGGTGGTGACAACGCAGGTGCTCCGGGGCATGAGGAGCTGGTGATGGAGGTTGTGCCTGCCTGGGGCAGGGGCATGCAAAGAAATTTCTGTACTTCCATTCAATTTTGCTGCAAACTTAAAACCTCCCTAAAAAACAAACAAACAACAAAAAAACCCCACCAAATTGGGGAGAAAAAAAGGCATCTCAGAAGCCCATATAAAAACATCAAGCGGGCTGGGGATGTGGCTCAAGCGGTAGCGCGTTCGCCTGGCATGCGTGCGGCCCGGGTTCGATCCTCAGCACCACATACAAACAAAGATGTTGTGTCCCCCGAAAACTAAAATAAATAAATAAATATTAAAAAAAAAAAAACAACAAATAAAAATAAAAACATCAAGCAAGGGGTTGGGGCTGGGGCTCAGTGGTAGAGCGCTTGCCTAGCATGCTTGGAGGCACTGAGTTTGATCCTCAGTACCACATAAAAATAAGAAAATAAAATAAAGATATTCGGTCCATCTACAACTACCAAAAAACCCAAACAATAACAATTAAAAAAACAAAACAACAACAACAACAAAAAACCATCAAGCAAACCAGTACATGTGCACTGGGAGTCCAAAGGGGATGAGGCACCTGATGAAGTGACTGCAAGGCCCTCCCACCCGGTGGACTAGACATCAACTCGGCTTCAAGAGACTTTCTGAGGCTAAATGGTACAAGCGCAACGAGATCACATCCAGACATCAATAGAAGTGCCGAAGTCAGAGAAGCATAGCAAAAGAAAAGTAACTGTTTCTGTACAAAGGCACAGTGGTTCGGTTCATAGATGACTCCTCATTGGAAACAATGGAGCCAGAAGGCGATGTGATGTTGTATGAGAATGCTTAAGAAGAAAAAGAACTGCCCACCAAGAGCTCTGAAGGTGACCTTCAAAGATGAAGGTGACCATACTCCAATATTCAGACGAATCAGACGAAAATTATAAGGCATGCTGAAATAAGAAAATATAGCCCATTAACAGGAACAAATAAGTTAACAGAAACTACTTCTCAGCTGTGTTAATTATACCAAATAACTAAAGGTAAGCATGGATGATGAACCAAAGGAAGTGTAAGAACAAGGTATGTTGCCCCAAGGTAACCCAACAGAAGGTACCCACAGACAGGACATCATGGAGGAGCAGTGTACAATGTCCCAAACACCAGCTTCAGGGAAACCCTGAAGCTAAACAGTAGAATAGCCAGAGGAGTTGAGCTGGCAGATGAAAGAACAGAAAACCCGGAGGCAGGTCTACTGAATGAGAGAAAGGAGAGTCCAGGAGAAAGAGCAAGGCCCC